TATCTATCTATCTATCTATCTATCTATCTATCTATCTATCTATCTATGTGGAGAGTAATAATTGAAGTCAGAACAGGATACATTAAGCGAATTCATTTGAATGCAAAAATCGTTTTTTTTTTTACACACCGTGGCTCTTCGAAGATTTCTTAGTTCAAAATGTCATATGATCAATCAAATGATTATTTCAATTGTCCCAAAGTCACCTTATACTGTTGCTGGATTATATATTGGTGGGTTTTGAATGAACCAGTTGTTGGGTGGGTGTAAAATTTGTCCATTTGAAGCTACAATGTAATCTCTTGAAAAAATAATTGTAAAAGTATACAGATGGATTATCATCCATAAGATATGGGCAGATGGTATAAATGCAAGCCTGGAGAATAGTATTACAGTTATATCTATTTGTATTTGATATTCAAAAAGTAAAATGCTGGACCAAGTTAGGTTAATATACAGCATGACTGTAAAGTGGAAAGCCCCAGATGCTACTGTAACACAACAGACTTACAGTTTCAGATCATTATCTATACACAGATGATAGTTGCAATATGTGTGCTGACATGATAGCAATGTGCATCCGAGTAAAGAAAATGAGGTTTATCTGCATTTTATCAACCTGATTAAACATGCTTTTAGCTTTGTCAGCCTTTTGTTATCATCAAAGAGTGAAGCTTCAAAGAGCAATCTAATCCTATGAACAGCGAGTGTCTGGCCATTTGCAGTCATTATTTTTCTGATGTCTTTAAATTAAAGTTGATCAATTGACAGGAGACCAGTTTATTTTGATTTAAAAGAACCTGGAAGACTGGAAAAACACCCATTTGGTCCACTTTTTCCGTGTGATACCAAATTCAAATAACAACATCTGGAGTAGTTTCAAGCATATGAGGACTGATCTTGTGACCTTACTGAAAGACTCACATGTTGTTAAGCTTCTCCAAGAAAGCTGCTGTTCTACGACATTAAACTGACATCATACATTAACATGATCGGCAATTCAAAGTCCATAAATGACTTGTGAAAAGTAGATCAGAAGCAAAGCGTAGCCTCTGATCAAAGCTTTACTAATCTCACCAGCTGATTGGCGCTTTAGTGATAATGTTTTGACTGGTCCACAGAGACTCGTGCTCTGCCAGTATCAGAGTGTTAAAATAGTCTAAATTAAAGTTCAGTCAGTAAAGTAAAGTCAACCTTCAGAAGGTGTTAATGGCCTTTTTTTGACAGCACTGGGATTCAAAGCCGAAGTTTTTTTTAATCATTTTAATTACTGGGTTCAAACTGTTTCAATTGGACAAACAAATTTTACATTTTACTTTATGGTTTAAACTGCTTTGTATGAGTCACCGATGGTGCTAACCACCACACCACCGTGCCGCCCAGGTGTAAACCAGGAAAGGGAAAATAAAATCTGGTGTGGGGGGATAAAAACAGAGTTCTAAATACTACCGAGACTGATTGGGAAAAAAGAGGGGAATGTCATAATTAGGAGTAGAGATAGGGCAATTAGTGACTAAGTAATGGACAAGAGAGAGGAAAAAGAGCTGTAACCCTCTGGTGGATCTGGAAAGACTAGATTGGAGGCAAAATAAATAGAATAAAAAGGTTAAATCTGAAATAAATTACCAAAGTCTGTAGTCAAAAATATTAGCAAAGACATGAAGCAAAGCTTTAAAAAGCCCATACCCATACACAGATCCTGTCAAGTATAGAGCACAACATGGAGACCCCGTTTTAACAATTTCCCTTGAATTAAATTTCACTCTTGACTTAATCTCTTTATTCGTGTGGAGAGGTTTTTTTCATTTTTTTGTCAAGGAGGCTGAGCATGATGTGGCCTAATCCTTTTCCCGGCATGGGTGCCGGCAGGCCTTTGATCAGCTCCTGTTTGATGAGAGATATCGACAGACCTCATCTGACACAGCGGACAGCGTGCTGCAGAGCCCCGCTGCCCCCTCCGACAGCACTTGTTAAGGCTGATGAGATTAAAAGGGGAGAGGATGGAAGCGTCAAATATGGAAAAAAAAAAAACAAGGTTGGAGAAAAAAAACAAAAAAACAATCGCGCTGGCACCAGCAACTGGCTGGACCGTGACTTGATTTATGAGAACGCTTTCTTTTAACCCCCAGCCCCCTCACTCTCTGACTCACTGTGCATACAAACAAGTGACAGAAAAATAGAAATATGAGCGCACACTCAGAAAAGCGCTCAGCTCCAGAGCCTGACACCTGATGTAGAAGGTTAATAATGATCTCTGCTTTGACCTTCTATGAGGTCACAGAGGACTTTTGACAGTGCATGAGGGCCTGGCTGAGACATGAAGGCTACTTCCTAATAGTTCACCGTTCCCATCGTGGCTGTGTGGCATTTAGAAACACTGATAATGTGATAATGATGCAACATTTTCAGAGAACCGCACCATGCCACAAACAGCAGGTACTGCAGCTTTCTCTACTTTGTCCCTTGTAAAGAGTAAAAAACTTAATTAAAACCCAGTTTAACCCGAAACAAATATGGTAGAGGATGTGTTCATGTGACTTGATATACAGCCAGTATTACTTGTCCCTGTGGTGTCAACGGGTTGGCAACAGAAAGAGCAACTTGTGATGGCATCGATCATATTTTCTTAGAAATTCAATCAAGTGTTAAAGTAGGCAAAGCAGGAAAAAAAGACTTTTACCATTTTTCTTCCAGTAGATAATAATTCCAGAGTTAGAAAGATTTTTTAAAAATATCTGATTGATGTAAATTTCTACAAACCTATATCCATAAAAGTTAAGATGGTCAATTCAAGCCTTTGCTTAAAAGACTGCATAGCTAAGAAAATTTCTAAAGATTATTATTCACAATGTTCCATATATTTAGAAAGTATGTGCAACAAATCCAGACCTTAATGATAGCACCACGGACCAGGCTGACAAAGTACGGCATTCTGGATGATGCAACAGTCAGCAGGTTATCTGGTAACAGGTGAGGTAGTCAGAATTGGGTATAGGTAACAGAGGAGGGATCCACTAAATTCGAATGGATAAAGTTGGAATTTAGTGGATTCCAACTTTATGCAGAACTTCATGAGTGCAATGTGGATAAATTCACAAGCAAATGTATAGCACGGAGCAGGAAGTCTATCTTAAAACCAGGTTTCTATGACTACCTGCTTTCACTTTTGCTAAATCATCAAATCGGGATCCTGTCTCAGGTAAGAAAGCAAATCAAGTGCATGCATTTGTTACTTCTAGGTTGACTGCAGTCATTCTCTTTCATGGGGCTGTCCCAGTTGATCCAAAATGCAACAGCCACAGTTCTGCTAGGGGAACACATTTTGAAATTGGATTGAAAATTAAACTCTTCCCCTCAGATCCAAACCTCTTGCAGTGCATCATTTAATATACGGAGTACATTGGCTGCAGACTTTGCGTCTTTTGTGGTTTTGAGAATGTCTACTTGTAGAATGGCAAGCAGGGCTTGCAGTTACCAGCCCCATCCGAACGGGACCAGCATGGGTTTGCCATAAAAGCAGATATCTTTTATGATCAGATCTAAAATGATCCTTTCTGACAAAAGTTATAGTAATAAAAAGTTTAGGTGACTCTGGAATATGGTTCTAGTTATGCTGTTGCAGATAATGCAAAAATAGCCACACACCCTAAAACACTTAAGACACTTAATTGTCATGAATGCTTAAAAGGTCAGTAATTATACTAGCCTGGCATTAGCCAGGTACAAGGAGTGGACTTCTAAAAATTAAAATCAGTCTTTTAAAAGAAATAAATTCTTTGAAAGCCCCTTCCCCCCAAATATGTATAATTTCTGCTACTAAGATCCTAATGCACAGTCCCATCCTTGAACCCTTTCATGGAATAAGTTCCGATGTGCCATTAATTGATTAAATCTTATTTTTATTGATTCATATAACCGTACATAGGAAACAAAAACAAAAGTCTTCACCCAAGTTACATTTATTCTACAGTTCTGTGTTCTGAGTAAATTTACAGTATTGTGTAAAGGAAAGGTTTGAAAGGAAGGAGACAGACTCAGCTAAAGTAAAAAAAAAAAAAAAGTTCTGGTATCCACATTTAAACAACAAATATCAACATATTCATGAGTTTATTCAAAGAGTTTTTAAATCAAACGACACATTTTGGATTGCAATACTCGTCTGTGCCTCTTTTTTCTCCATTAGTCTGTCACAATGGCTGGAAACAGGATGAATACATGAGAAGTAATCTACAAACAATAGCTGGCGATGGTGGTGTTAAAGCACCTCACGATCCTTGCAGTTTTCAGAAAGTCATCACAACCATATCTGACATCTTTAGATGTGTAGGGTATATTCGGTTTTGTTATAGGACGACCATTTTCTGGAGCTGCTGGCTTTATGTGAAGGAAGGACTCGGTGGCCGCTGGATGGACCCCGGATCCAAAATGCCTGAGTCCACAGACTCATAACTGAACGAAACACGCAAAGCATGGGTAAAAAAACAGTTACTGACTCTTTTGTCTTGAACAATGACCTGACGAAGACGCCTGAAGACAAAAATGATTTTTACCTGTCATTGGAAGGTTGTCCATCATCCATTTCTGACAGTTCAGCTGTGGACAGATGGTGGACAATCAACACGCCAAAGCAGTCCCCAAGGACGTTGATGACAGCGTTCCAACGGTCTCTGTCAGCCGTGCAGAAAAATTAATCTCAGTGTACTGTTTGGTTTCAGGTGAAGCAACATTGCAAAAAATCTGGGTTATACTAACAGCAGCCATTCTATAGCCAGCAAAAGGGAAGCATCCCTCGCAGGAATCCCACAGATTGTTAAAATGAAGAATGTGGTGACGGTTCCTGTTGCTGGGATTCCTGCTTCTCCAACAGAGGACAAGGCCACAGTCACACTGTAAAGCAAACACAAGGTTGTGTTGAAGCAAAACTGTGTAAACTGTCTATTTTCAGCACGAGGGTCACCATGATTACATTGAAAGTTCTTGATTTTATCTACGAGTTCAGTAAAATTAAGGTCTCAAATTAAAAAAAAAAAATTATTCATCTTTCCTTAACCAGGACAGAGAGATAAGGTAAATAATATTGTTATAGCTTACCCCATGGTAAATAACTTGCTCCAGTTCAAACGGATGCCGCTAAGTTGGGCGATAAAGACTGTCGCCGCCATTTCATAAAGGGCTGTCCCATCCATATTGACATTGATGCCAATCGGCAGCATGAAGTCAGTGATTCTTTTGTCAACTCCAAATAATTCCTCAAGGCACCAGTAAGTTGGCTTGACCGCATGGCTAGGAAACACAGTGGAGCATTGTTTTTTTAATATTTCAGATTTGCTTATGATATGTATTGTCTACACATCATTGCAGGTCTCCACTGTGCAGGAAAGGAGAACATTTCTAAAGGTCTTACGTGCGTGAGATGATCAGAGCCCTATGTAAGGCAGGAAAAACCCCTTTAATGATTACATATGGGTTTTTTTGCATGAACAACACAAAGATGAGTGGTAAAATGACCAATCCATGGATGAGGAGCCTAATAAAGAGAAAACCAAGATCATTTATCAAATTTTAGCATGAGACGTACTGATGTACGTCACCGACAAGCAGCAAGATATCAGTCCAACAGGAATGCTTCCTAAACAGGGATGGAACATACCCGACAAACACCGCTGCAATGAATTTTGCAAGGCAGATGACTGCCTCCCAGTTATCCCCAATCTCCACAACAAAACTCGCCATCAGGGACATGACTCCAATTGGCAAATAGCTGGGCACATTTTTTTTTCAAGCCAACATGGAAATTTAAAGACATACGCATTGGAGATCAATAGGGCAAGGAAAAGCAGGAAAACACATTTTATCTGAGATGAAACATTGCCACGTACCACATTATCATCTTCACTGCAATTTTGGTTGTCTCATTGAGGCCAGTGACCACATCCAAAACCACTCTTCCTCTTTCCCTTACTTTCCTGAGGGCCATCCCGGAGAAAAACGCTATCACAGTCAAACCCACAATGTTGAGCCCATTGATAAACTGGCCCTCATAACGCACTTGTTGATGCCCCTGAAAAAAGATGGGACATGCACTGACAACAAAAGTTTGATCAAGACCCAGTGTGGTGAGGGCAGCACAAGTATCAACTTTTGAAAAGCAATGAGGGAAAAATGTCTACCTCCCCTATGGTGGAGTTGTCATCGTCACCTTCAAGATCTGCCATCACAATCGTTGTCTTGTACTAATGAAGAGTGAATGTAGATCATGAATGTCGAATGTGATGCTTCACGTGCTGCATAATTAGGTAAGATACATACCACCTTAAAGCCAGCCAGAATCACATTTTGCGGTATCATGTTTCTACAAACCGTAAAGACAAAGAAATCATTGAAAACTGTGAGTCACCTTTCTTTTTTTTTTTAAACTACATTCAAACGGAGCCCAGCCTAATTCAGAAGCAGATGAAACATGAAAACCAGGGGCTAACGGTCTCTGTACTCACCTTAGTAGATCTTTCAAACCGTGGATAGACGCGAAGGACTCGTCATCATCGTCATATACATAACTGGAGGACTTCAGAGTGACCCCTGGCTTGATCAACTCAACCATCAAGCACCCTACAACAAATAATCCACTGCTGAATGTAAAGCAGTCTTTGTCTCTCTAACGCAGCTCCCATCATAGCTATAAAAGTGGCTTTGAAGCCATCTTTATGGACAAATGTAAAAAATGTAAATTGTGCTGCTTCACCGCAAAAATTACACTTCAAATCCTGTTTACAGATATTTCAGGTCATTTCTTTGCAGCAGAGTTCGTGAGAGCTTCTCCTTTTGATCTGCCGGTGATTTTTACGCTTAGCGCACTAAGAAGAAACGGGATAACATCCTTCTTTGTTTTCATCGGTTCTGATTTCAACTTTGAGTTTGAGGGGTCTCAATAAAGGTCTTATTTCCAGGAGCTTGTTGAGCAAAATAACAAGCCACGTTATAAAATATAAACCTATAAAATTGATAAATATAGGATTATTTGTTATGTCTCAGTTTGTGTTTGCTGATTAAATATTAGAGGTGCACCAATTGTACTTTCTGGATGACCATTGATCACCTTCCTTTAAAAAGTCTGACCTGCTGATTCCTATTTCAACACAATACATGAAGAAACTGTCACAATCTTATGTTACTGAAAAACACTGAACAATACTTGTGAAACAATACTAACTTGTTTTAGCTGCACACAAGGTAGTGCTCTCAATTATAGGCAAAACTTTGCTGTACAAACTTCTACATTTCCGGGAAGGAAAGAACCCCAAAAAATGTATTTGATAACAGTCCTTCTTTGACTATTGAGCGCGAGAACAACTCACCTGTGCCATTGTTAATTCTTGTTATAACCCTTTGAATTTCGAAAATGTTACAAATGCTGCACTTTGTTTTTTCTTGGTAGAATGTTTGACTTTAAGCAGCTTGGTACGGCTTATATGCATGTGCCCTCAATAGTCAAAGAAGGAATGTTATCAGATAAAACATTTTTGTTTCCTTCCTTCCGGACAAAACATTTTTATTCGATAACAGTCCGTCTTTGACTATTGCGCGCACATGAATAAAAGCTGTACCAACTCATTTAAATAAATAAAAAAGTAGCTTACCGGACAAAAGCTGCTTAAAGTCAAACATTCTACCAAGAAAAAAACTAAGTGAAGCATCTGTAACATTTTTTAAATTCAAAGGGTTATAACAAGAATAAAAAATGGCACAGGTAAGTTGTGCTCGCGCCCAGTGCGAACACTTGTGCATGAGTCGCTGTTTTTTTCTTGATGAACAAAAGAATTTCTGCTTTTTCACCAAACACATGAACTGCAAATTGACCTTCGGATTTTTTTCTTTAACCAAACAATACTGCAGAACTGACAACATGGCTGGTGACTTGCTAACCACGCAGAAGCAGGCTTGAACTAGCGAGTGGTTCTGTCAGTCAGAGTTGTGATTTTCAGACCTTCCCGTAGGTAGATATGATCGATTTCACATGTAAGTATCTGCTGATCACCCAAACCCAAATCTGATACTCGTGAATAAAATCTTATGATCACTAAGTGTACATAACAGAGGAATGAAATAAAAAAATTAAAAATAAAAACATACGGAGTATTTCCTTACCAATGATGATAGACAACACCGTGGTCAAGGAAAAATACACTAATGCCCGTGAGTTGATCTTTCTGGAGTTGCTCAAATTTGCACTGTTTACTCCTGTGAACAAAACACAGCTTGAAAGCCGACTCTGCAAAACAGAGGTCTAAGCAAGTAGCATCAACTGAAACATCGACATTTTTCACAGCTGAAAGGAAAGTTTAAAATAACACATCCTCTGTTTCAGCCGAATTGGTTCTGGTGCTGGTTTGGAGCTGGTGCTTGAGAATTGCCACCAAACAAAGACATCATTATATCACTTTAAACACCTCCTATTGCAATATCTTTGTCCTTTTTGGTTTTGGAAATTTGAAAGTTGGTAACATTTTGGATTGTAATACCCTTGACCCGCAATTACAATGGGTTGGGCTTTTTAATGGGAACTGGACACGTCTGACTTAAAAGTGAAGAACCCCAAACTCGTAGTTGATGATTGTATCATTTTTGTTAGAACACTCTTTGCTAATCTGAGATCCAGCTCTAGATGTTAACTTGTATTTAAAGCTAATGCTGCAAACAGGGATATTACAGGCTTTCTGAGCAGGAAACTATGAATTATTTAATATGACTTTTCGCTTTGAATTTTTTTCAATCTCTTGAATTAAGCTCACTGAAGAGTCAGAAGAACTGGCTCTGAATGACAATGTGGCACCAAACCAGCACTGAGCTAAAGCTGTATCCTTGTGTCACTTTTGATGATTGCAAACATTTGAGCTAAATGGCTGATGTGCACAGAGTGTGCATTAAATGCATGGGTGGAAATAACATTCAGAATTACTGTAGATATACTCAGATCTTACCAATTATCACGTTTGTTACAATTAGCGGCGTAGTAACCAGCTGAAGCAGACGGAGAAGTATTTCTCCGGGGAAGCCAATGTAAGACTCCTCAATTGCTGTCAGTGTTGTGTAGATCTTCAATATCTGGCCAACAGCAACACCTTTAAAAAATGCTTTGTTACAGACTATAACATTTTCCAAATATATGCAGAATACAAAGGTAAAACAATCTCAGACCATGGAATTTAACTATGTTAAGCTAAGTTTTCTTTTCTGCGAGACAAGTTTTTTTAATGTTGTGACTTATACTCCAAAGCAACTTTTTAGCATGTCCTTGTGTGGATCAACAAAGCTTGGACTTCAGTGACAACCAAAATCATCCTTTTGTGACTCAGAAAGTATGGAAATACAAAAGTCTTGAAGACAGCCCTGCAGAAGAGGATACGGTGCTTTGTCTTCCAATGGATTAATGCTTTCTTTTGGTCAGAAGCGAGGAGAAGATGACAAAATCAATGGATTAAGTGGAATGAGATCAGGAGCTTGCCTGTTACTTGATTCTCGTTAGTCTTGTTATGTTAATTTAGTCTACTATGACTTACTGGTATGTTCTTTATGTTACTTTACATTTTGTTAAAATGTTACACTAATATAGCATACACCTACTCGGGCAGTTGTTTTGTGTGTGGTCGTGTAGTTGAGACACTTGCCTTTCCGATTTTGATGTCTGTTAATGGACTATGTCCAGTTCAGCTTGTATTTCAGACTTACAGTCTAATAAAAAGTGCTGTAAATTTCATTCAGTGATACTAAAAAAATATATAAAACTACAATGCAAAAATATTACACACCCGACAGAAATCTCAGTATTAAATTACAAATATTTCTGTTTACGCATGCTTATGTTGTTTAAGAAATGCAAAACATATTTATGTTTCCATCCACCCATCGACTGGAGCCTATCCCAGGGATAGAGGCCAATTGGCAAGAGGCCATTGACCAGGGCAGGGCCACACACAAGACATACAAGGACAAACAACCACGCACAGTCACATTCACTCCAAAGGGCAATCAACCTAACATGTATGTTTTTGGACTGTGGGAGGAAGCCGGAGAACCAAGAGAGAACCCACGCAGACACAGGGAGAACATGCAGACTACGCAGAGAAAGGTCCTGGGTCCCCCACGATTTGAACCCCCTTCTTGATGTGAGGTGACAGTACTAACCACCACATCACCCTGCCACAACTTGGTTTTTGTTTTAACATGGTAAATAATTTATACGAAATTAAATTAATATTTAAAAGCATGCCTGAGACGGACTGGCGACCTGTCCAGGCCGCTTTTCGACATTTGTTTTCTGGGATAGGCTCCAGTCCCCATGGCTGTGTAATGTAATAATGTAGTATACAGTCAGTTCACCAAGTGTGATCACTTACCCAGGGCAACACCCAACAGGCTGGTAAGGGATAACAAATTCCTTTTGTGGAAGAAGCTTTTCAAAAATTTGGACCACAAACTCGTGCCTTCATTGGGCCTTTCCTCCATTTTACTGAAAGACAATTAATTGAATGGTAGTGAGATAGGTATTGTAGTTAAACTGCACAGGCTGGTTACTTGGCACTTCCTGTGAAACAGCTGTGAGAATGAATTGAACAGTAAATGCTGAAGAAACTGAAAAACACTTGCTTTTTTAACTGCACTCATTACTCATTGTCCCCACTGTGGGATCAATAAAGTAGTCAAATCTAATATAATCTAAAAGTTACACTATATATCATTGTTGAAATGATCTTTAGATTTCCAAAAGCACTTGGGATCACGTTTTTCTGAATTTACAGAGTTTACAAAATTCGAGTTAGGGTAGCCGCGTACTTTTCCCATTGTGCACTGGCAGTCATAATTCAGGGTTAATTCTGTTTCGTATTAAAGTGTGTTAATGTAAATTTTTCTTTCTACGGCATTGACTTGCATGTGTACGGTTTGGTCAAATAGAGAAATTCCTTTGAGGAAAGCCATTGGCTACTTTTTATGTTTTACCGTTGACGTCAACGGTCACAGAGGCTCCAATACTCAAATGTAATCGATTACATTTTCATCAAAATAGTGCGGTGGGGGTGGGGGGGATAGTTTCGAAAAATACTACTTGTTAAATTGACGTACAGTTCCTTAAATTTTTACAAAATGAGTCACAATTGAAGATAATCCGAAAAATTATGTAAGGCGATACGAGGCATCACAGTGATGGCTTCCGCTAAAACGCTATTTATGTCTATTATTTCTACATGATGGGATACTATGCTAATTTGGATTCGGATAAAGTAAAATAAAAAAAAAACACTTACTTGTTACTTGCTCTAATCAAACTAGGAGTAATCAAGAGAGCACAGATATATAAAAATCCCTACGTTTTAAATGGCTCAGAGGAAATGAAGAATTCTGTATGCTAGTTTGAGCGTAACTGCTTTGTTTTGAATCAACTTTCTGTCACGTGACTTATGTAACCATGACAAATTACACTGACATTTTCATAACCGCTTATTTTGCAATGGAGTCGCGCTTGGTAATTCGGTTTAATGGAACTAATTTGGTTTTGCTCCAACAGAGTGAATTTTCGGCTGAAAACTTTCTATATTTTTCCGATATTTTAAAACTGAGAATAGAGGAAACTGGAAAAGTGAAGACAAAGCCTGACAAATATCCGAGAGATGCACCTGATCCGATATGTCTTTTTCGAACCCTGGATTATCATATTGCATTTTTACCTCTCTGTAATGCTTAATTGTTTTTCAACTTTTAGCTTTTGTTCTCATTGTCAGGCAATGTTTGATATCTAAAATAAAATGATTTTATATGTTTTCAACTAATCATTGTTTTATTGTGTAATTACAGTTCTATAATTCAGCTAAAAATGTTTTACTTACATAAATACACATTTTTTATACAGAGATAACCCCACTTATTTGGTCCTTCTAATCCCATATACCTTGAAAGAAGTCAAAATGAACACAGTTAATTAAAGCTTTTGTTAAAGAAGTTTACATTTTAAATGAAGTTTGACACAACATTCCGCCGAACACTTCAATGCATACTGTACAGACAAGGGGACATTCATAAAAAAAGAAGACTATAAGATACATTAATACATTTTTAATGTAAATTCATGAATGCGCCTTTTTTAAAATAAAAGAGCTTAAAGTTTTAACAGCAATAATATGAGCCTATTTTCCTACATTGGAAGGGAGAAAATCATTTCCATAATGTACTTGCTTGTTTTGAATAACTCTTGGTTTGCAGACATGCCATGTTAAGCAGAAACGTGCACTAGGCATAGATTTATCCTTCAATATCCCAAAAGTGATTCGTCAGCAGCATTTCTCCTTTACAACTGAAGCTGATGCAGGGAGCTTACAGCTCTTTGCTGCTCTCTACCAATGATTGTTAGAACACAACTGTAATTTTTAAACAATAAAGTTGGGTACTTCCTATTTATTTTTGTATGTATTACATCAGCATTTTTTTTCTGTTGGGAAACAGTCTTTCCCTTTATGCTGAGGTTTACTGAAATCCTTTCTGTGATTCTTTTTTTCGGCTACCACCTACCAAAAAAGTTGGAACAGAACTCTTTGATTTGCTTTATTTAATAAATTAATATTCTATTCATGATAGATCATTAGATTGCATAGATTAGATTTATCATCTCTTGAACTTGATGAGTGCATCCTCCTTTATAAAAAAAAATTGGCCAGAGTCATGTCAACCACTGTGAGGCATCCTCTCTTAATCTGACAGCCGTTGCTTTAAACCTGTATAAACCCTTCTGCATTAAAAGGACTCTTCAACATGTTTACTTTCAGCACAGATTTGACTTTAGTACCGACAAGAAGCCAAAGATTTATCTGACTTTAAAACAGTTTTCATTCCATCTCAGGCCAATTTAAACCGGCCTGAATTTGTGGAAGGGACAATGATTTCTGGAAGTGTGTCTGACCTCAGTGAGCATGACTTCCATGACATAATCACAATTTTCCCAACTGTGCTTTCCCTAATGTTCATCCAGTAACAATTCACTAGTGTCCCTTGCATCTTTCGCTCAATCCGAATCTGTTGATATTTCATAGATTAGAGTAGCACTTAGGACCTGTGATGGACTGGCGACCAGGTAAAGGTGTACCGTGCCTCCAGCCCCCACACAAGCCCACATGAAATAAGCGAGTAAAAGAAAAACATGGATGGATAGAAAAGTAGTTCAAAATGTTTGCATTTCAAACTTATTGGTCAAATTTGTTTGTTGTAAGAATAAATCAGATCAATTGTAAGCCTAAAAATGTCCAGTTCATTCAAGTAACATCTAATGTCAAGAGGGATCTCCATTATAGAGGGTCTCCATCGGTGTGACTTTGCCCATAAAGTTGAAAGACTGGATATAATGCAGCGAAGTGTCACTGGCCAGTTACCTCTTACGTGAACAAGATCCTTATTCATGCATATTCCACTGAAATGCGCCATGAAATTTGTGTGTTGTCCTTGATGACGTGTATCTAATGCAAAAGAGATTAAGAAAAACCTGTGAGTACATTCAGAGAGGTTATTTGAGTTTAGTGCAAAGAGTAACATTCTAAAGTGAACAAAACAGTTTGCAATTCATATGAAACCAGTGACAAAGTATGTCTCTGAAGTGAAGAAATAGAAGTAAATTTTGACACACTCAGCTAAGGTTCTTGCTGCCTTTATTTCTAGGAGACTCTACTTCACCATGGTGTTCTTTTTATTGCCAACCATGCCTTTTTTGCCAGTTTATCTGCCTTGTAGCCAACAAAATAATTTAGCTGTTTCTTTTTTGCGCCATTTACTTTTGCCCACCTTTTTAAATTCTGTTCCCAGTTTTAACAAAATAGTAACATTTCTGACTTTTGCTATTTGATCAGTTTTCTGTGATTGAATTCATAGCAACACAACTTTTTGACTGGTGTTGTGTTATTTGACCTGTATGACATGAAAGGTCTGAGCGATATGAAAACTACAAAAAGAAATACACCACTAGATATCTTTATTGTCAAAACAATGCTTCACTGACTAAAGTACACTTCTTGAGATTTAATGTACAGCGCAGACAAACAGAGCCACACGGACCTGCACACATAGCACAGAAGGAGTGAGAGAGGCTGATGTGCTGTCAGAGCAAAACACCCTCTGCTGAGAAAATAACCCTGTCTCAACCCTTTCCCCGCACACAGGAATGAAAGTACGTTTGAAAGCTATTTTTTTACCAATTTGCCTCTGTTTAAGCAGATTGTCAACTGCTGAATACCAAAGCCCAACTGCCCCTGATATTATTCAGTGGTCCAGACTCACAGGCTTTAGGAATTAGGAAGTACTGAAAGGAATTCAAAACAAAGAGTACTTGAGCCACGGGCTGTAAGGGCCTGGGCTGTTTTTTTTTTCTTTTTCTTTTTTCCTGGTTGGCTCTAAGCCAGGAGTTATATTATGGGTGCAATTTAATATCTGAGAGGAAGGAGAGATCTGGATTTTCATAATCTTATGATAAGGAAAGGGATTAAGAATAAAGTAGGGATTAATTCGCTTGATCTGCCAATATGGTAGACCAACAATTTTTCCCTCAGGCGGTGATATACTCCCCTCCTTGTACAAACCTGACCATTACCCAATCGCCATTCTATGAAGGAACTTGATTTGGCCACGTCATGTTTTGATGACAGGACCTGACCCACTAATATAACATCCTCACACAAGCTGTCACCTGCAGAAATGCAGGTCTTACATGTAACATTTTATGACATGAATACAGAATAAAGGTTAATTGTGCGGATGAACTAGATTACACACGTGATAAATTAACAGATTCTTAAAAACAGAAATTGTGGACACTGTTATAGTGAAGGAGAGGCCACTGCATTAAGGTTCACAGAGTCCTGGATGCAAATCCTAACAAAGTTGATGAATAAGAGATGGCTAAATGTCCTTTTAAAAAACTGAAATCTGAAATGGTATCAGACACAAAAACAAAGCATTGTTAAATGTAAGGGTATTAGTTCTAATTATCATTCAGATTACTGAGATTTCAATGCTTTAAGATTTAAACCTTCAAGTTTTCAGCATGGAATGTTTTCTATATCACACTTGTATGAACTTATTAGGTGGAATGAAGGTTCAGCATCTTTCTCAAAGACCTCTTAAGATAAACAGGAATTTGGCATCAAACCACTAACCCTCTGATGAACTTGCAGATAACCACTCAGCTGTTTGAATACTTTTGTTAAAAATGGTAATGGCTTTGGTCAGCAGCTGTAGCAGCTTTTGTGTGATCTATACACAAGAACGTTGTAGAATTTACACTACATCAGCAATCTGATCATTTCCACACTTGCATTTGACGAGTCATGATCTCTTCTCTGACTTCAGCATCACCACACACTGAATATTTTAACATCACTATT